AACCCAGAAAGTTACCCTGAAGGATGCACATTGTTACTGGAGAGTGACAAGAGAAGGTGACCAAGGGATAAAATCCCTTGTAATTACTCTTCCATAAATACTCATTGTGATAGCATGAGGACCTTACCTTTGAACTTAGAAATATTCTTCCAATCTGAAATCAGAAATAAGAAACGAGTAAAACTGGGGAAATCAGCATGTACATAATTCCACAGAAGCAAATGGAATGTGAATTTTTAACTGCTGGCTGCGAATTGGAAGGCATTAGCCTCAAAACGTTGGGAAAGTTAATCTACAGTCTGCGTGGTAAGGGAAGAATTTCCTCATTCCGGTCGTTAGTCTTTTTCAAAACCATTTCAAAGTTTCACATCAATAGCAGCAGTGACATGTTCCATCCTACTCCCGTGTGAGGACACAGAGAAAGCTGAGACAGGTCAGTTTGTATAATCAGTAATGCCCCTACCACACAAGTGCCAGGCAATGACCATCTCTGAGAAGTGGGCATTTAACCAGCTGCACTGACATTCAACATTCCCGCCATCACTGATTGCCAACCAACAACATCTTGGGAGTTGACCATTCGCCAGAAACTTAACCAGACCAATGACATAAATACTGTGACTATAAGAACAGGGAAATCTGCAGGCAGTGACTCAGCTCCTGACTGCCCAAAGTCAGTCAAACACCTACAAATTAGGAATGTGATAAAATACTTGCCAATTGCCTGGAGATGTCCTGCTACAACAACACTACTAAAACTTGACCCTTTGCAGACTAATCGACCTGACCGTTCAGAACTCCATCCACCACCTTAAACACTCAGTTCAGCCAGCACCGATGTACAATGGCAGCAGTGTGTCCCATCTATAAGATGCATTACGGTAACTCACTGCACCATCAGTGTTCTCTGTTAGCTCCCTCCAAGGCTACAACCTGTCTCACCGAGAAATACAGGTATAACAGACTCACTGAAACACCATGCCATACCACGCACCATGCTGATTTGGAACCATGTCGCTGTTCCTTTACTGTCACTGCGTTAAAATCCTGGAACACCGTTCCTTCCAGCCCAGTCTGAGTCAACTGGATGGGGCCTGTGGCTTCTTATTCAGGATTCATGGCCTAAATAATAAAACCTTTAGAAAGCCTCCCCACCGCACCCTCCCGTTCCATTGCTTCCTCCACTCCATCTCGAGGTGAACAGTGAGATGAACAGGGCAAGGGGAGGGCCAGATACCACCTGGATCTTGATGCCTGTGTGGGGCACGGACTCAAAGGGGTGGGGAGCATACAACCCCATCTGGTGTTTCTGTGACCCCAGTGGGGGTTTCCCACAGTTTGGGAAGTCCTGCTCCAATCTTGACTCCCATAATGCACTGCAGGCTGCTCTCCCAGATTTTACCTTCTATAAACGTAAGGTCATCGAGAAGTTTGCTGCTGTGTTTTAACTTGCACCAAATCTCAGTCACTATCAGCTCTGTCCTCACTGATCCACATTAGCATCAATCTTTCAAGTCAAAGAGTATATCATACCTGAATTACTGACAGATTTCCACGGATCTAAAAAAGAAATCAAGCTGTTAATACACTTCATTGATTTGGTTGTCACAAACATTAAATTATTGGTAGGTACATCAATATGATACCCAACAAATGTGATACCAATGTGATACCACGATACCTACAGCGGTTTAAGAAGGCACTTCATCACCGCCTTCTCAAGGGCTACTAGGGTTAGCAATAAATGCTGACCCAGCCAGTGATGCCCATGTCCCACAGTGAATTCAAACAAAGGTTCTCCATATGTGAAGTGGTCCGAGTGTTGACATTTTACCCAAACAGATGTTCGCCTTGATTCCGTTGTATCTCTCTCACCTCTGAGGCAGGAGGCTGTAGATTCTCCTCCAAACACCTCAGCATGTCATCCAAGCTGACCCTCCCAGTGCAGTGCTGAGGGAGTGCTGCACAGTCAGAGGTGTCATCTTTCAGGTGAGATGTTAAATCGAGCCTTGTCTGCCTCCTCAGTTGGACATAAAACATCCCGTGGGACTACTCTGAAGATCCGTGGGATTGTCCCTAGTCAACATTATTCCTCAGCCAACATCACAGCTCACACATCGCATCACACACTGTTTGTGGGACACTGCTGTAGACAGATGGGCTGCAGAATTTCTCACATTGCAACAATGAATGCACCTCAGAAACATCTTGTTTCTCAAGTGTTTTGAAACATCCTTATGTCATTCATGATGCTGTATAACAATGTCATTCTTAATGTAACCCTTACTTTTGTTCAGGTGAATATACATCAGTGTTACTATATATCTTCTAAACGTTTATTCATGAGACAGTTTCTCTTACAATAATAACACTGATTACACTACGGATGCTACATTTCCCTGGGTAGCTCCGTCATGTCTTGTTCATGTGGTCTTTTCTTCATGTCTGGCCTGAGAGAATAAACCTTACCTGGTTATTCAATCACAGGACGTCAGTTTTTACTGGATACAAGTCACAGCACAAACAGAAACAAAGGAAAATTCGGCTCCTCTCTCTCCGAGCATTTCCATTTTGACTAAAATATTCAAGCCTACCATTTCCCAGCTACTTTCACATCTTACAAATTGTAACTGCCTCGAAATGTTAACTTTCTCTCTCCACAGCTGCTGCCTGATCTGATCAGTTTCTCCAGACTTCCAGTTATCCACAGTTCTTCATTTTATTTCAGTCACACAGGGCACGCTGGTTTTATTATTTTGCCTTTCATTGATTCACCACAGATTGAGGACCTCACCACAGGATTTAGGTTCTAAATGGGGTAGGTAATGGTGATATGGTATCGTTGCTCGACTAGTAATCCTGAGATCCAAGTAATACATTTCAAACCCTAGCACAGCACATGGTAGAAGTTGATATTTAAATGTCTGGAATTAAAAACCTCATGATGGCATGAAGCAATTCTTGCAAAAAACATCTGTTTCACTAACTTCCTTTAAAGAGGAAATTCTGCTGTCCTTATCCAGTCTGACCTACAAGCAGCTCCAGACCAACAGCAATGTCACCAACACTTAACTGCCATGTGAAATGGCTCGCAAGCCTCTCAGTTGTAACAATCAGTAACAGAGTCATTGAGTAATACAGCGTGGATACAGGCCCTTCAGCCCAAACTGGGCCATGCTGACCATGGTGCCCGCTCAGCTAGTTCCAATTGCCCGCATTTGGTCCATATTCCTCTAAAACTTTCCCATCCATGTACCTATCCAAATGTCTTTTTTTAAATGTTGCTATTGTACCTGCCTCAATCACTTTCTCTAGCAGCCCATTCCACATACAGAACACTATGTGTGAAGAAGTTGCACCTCAGGTCCTTCTTAAATCTTTCCTCTCTCACCATAAATCTATGCCCTCTAGTTTTCAATTCCCCATCTCTCGGCAAAATGACTACATGCATTCATCCTACCTATGCCCCTCATGATTTTATACACCTCAATAAGGTCACCCCACTATTCCATAGAACATAGGAGAATAAGTCCTATCCTGGCCAAACTCTCCCTAAAACTCAGGCCTACTAATCCTGGCAACATCCTTGTAAATCTTCCTTGCACACTTTCCAGTTTAACTACGTCTTTCCTATAACAGGATGACCAAAACTGTATACAATACTCCCAAGTGCAGCCTTACCAATGACTTACACAACTGTTACATAACGTCCCAATTCCCATACTCAATGCCTTGACTGATGAAGGCCAGCATGTTAAATGCCTTCTTCACTACCCTGTCTACCTGTGACGCCACTTTCAGTAAACTATGTACTTGTACTCCTAGGTCCCTCCGTTCAATAACACTCCTCAGGACCTTACGATTTACTGTTTCAGTCTTACCTTGGCTTGACTTTCCAAAGTGCAACACCTCACACTTACTTGTGTTGAATTGCATTTATCAATCCTCAGCCCACTTCTCTGTCTCATCAAGATCCCTCTGTAATTTTTCATAACCTTCTTCACTATCAACGATACCTCCTAATTTTGTAACATCAGCAAATTTACTAGTCATGTCTTGTACATTCACATCCAGATCATTTATGTAAATAACAAATAACAAAGGTCCCAGTACTGATCCCTGTGGCACACCACTAGTCACAGGCCTCCAGTCTGAGAAACAACCTGCAACTATCACCCTTTGCTTCCTACCATTGAGTCAATTTTCAATCCAATTAGCTAGCTTTCCCAGGATCCCATGCGACCTAACTTTCATGACTAGCCTGCCATGTGGGACCTTGTTAAAGGCCTTACCAAAATCCATATAGACAACATCCACTATCCTACCATCATCTATCCTCTTGGTTACCTCTTTGAAAAACTCTGAAAGATTTGTCAGATATGGCTCCTCGGGCATAAATCCATGCTGACTATCCCTAATCAGACCGTGACTATCCAAATGTTGGTTGATCCTGTCTCTCAGTATCCTCACTAATAACTTGCCTACCACTGATGTCAGCTTCACTGTCCTGTAGTTCCCTGGACTGTCTTTGCTTGTTTTCTTTAACAGTAGAACAACATTAGCCACCCTCCAGTCTTCCGGAACTTCACCAACGGCTAAAGATGAAGCAAAAATCTCTGCAAGGGCCTCTGCAATTTCTTCCCTAGCCTCCCACAATGTCCAAGGATGGACTTGATCAGGCCCAGGGGATTTATCCAACTTAATGCGCTTTAAGGCTGCAAACACCTCCTCTCTGATCATATATATGTGGTCCAAAACATCCCCACTTGTTTCCCTTATTCCCTTAACATCCATGATTCTCTCCTCAGTGTTTACTGTATTGAGGGGCACAGATAGGATGAATGCATAAAGTCTTTTTCTCAGGGATGGGGAATATTCATTACAAATCTCCCCCATCTCCTGTGGCTCCACACATAGACGGCCATGCCGATCTTTAAGGGGACCTATTCTCTCCCTTGCCACCCTTTTACTCTTCATATAGCTATAGAACCTCTTGGGATTATCTTAAACCTTAGCTCCTTTATTCATTCACGGGATGAGGGCGTCACTGGCCAGGCCAGCATTTATTGCCCTTCCCTAATTGCCCAGAGGGCAGTTAAGAGCCAATCACATTGGTGTGGGTCTAGAGTCACATGTAGGCCAGATCAGGTAAGGATGGCAGTTTCCTTCCCTAAAGAGCATGAGTGAACCAGATGGGTTTTTCCTGACAATCAGCAATGATTCGTGGTCATCATTAGACTCTTAGTTCCAGATATTTATTGAATTCAAATTCCACCACCTGCCGTGGCAGGATTTGAACCCAGGTCCCCAGAACATTATCTGGGTCTCTGGGTTAACAGTCTAGTGACAATACTACTGGGCCATTGTGTCCCCATATCTGCCAGATCCATCTCATACCCTCTTTTTGCTCTTCTGATTTCCCTCTTAAGTGTGCTCCTACACTTTTTATAGTCATATAGGGATTCACCTGAGCCTGATAGCTTAAAATGGAATGTATGCCTTCCATTTCCTGACCAGAGCCTCAATATCCCTCTTCACCATGGATCCCCAAACCTGCCAGCTTTTCCCTTCACCCTAACAGGAATATATTGTTCCTGGACTCTTGATATTACAGTTTTAAAAGCCTCCCATTTGCCACTCATTCCTTTTCCTTCAAACAGACTCACCCAATCAACTTCTGCTAGATCCTGCAAAAGGCCACAAAAATGGCCATGCTCCAGTTTAGCACCTTAACCTGTGGACTCTGTCCTATCTTTTTCCATTACTATGTTAAAACTGAGAGAGTTATGGTCACTGCACCCAAAGTGCTCTCCGACTAACACTTCATTCACTTGCCTGACCCCGTTCCGAAGAGAAGGTCCAGGGTTGCACCCTCCTGAGTTTCGTATTCACTTACCAAACTTTCTTGGACACATTTGACAAATTCCACCCCGTCCGGGCCTTTTACACTCTGGGTGGTCAAGTCAATACAGGGGAAATTAATATCTCCAACTTATACTAATCTATTATTCCTACAGGTATCTGCAATCTCTCTACATATCTGCTCCTCTAGTAGTCGCTGGCTGTTTGGGGGTCTATTACACAGTCCCAACAGAGTGACATCCCCTTCTTGTTTCTAAGTTCTAACCATATGGCCTCATTTGATGTCCCATTTAGATATCTTCTCTAAGCACTGTTGTTATGTCCTCCCTTATCAAATGGCAGCTCTCCTTCCTTACTTACTTGGACTTCTGTCACACCTGTAGCTTTTGTATCCTGGAACATTGAGGAGAGAGTCCTGCCCTTCTCTCAGCCCTGTTTCTGTTCTGGCTGTAATATCCCAGACCCCAGAGCCAATCCATCCTCTGAGCCCATCTGCCTTACCAGTCAGGCCTCATGCATTGAAATAAATGCACTTTAAACTAGAAGCCTTTCCCTCCCTTTACAGTGTCCCTGGCTATCCTGAATAGTAAACTTGCTCTCAATGGTTAATGTATTTTCCCCTGATTTCTCAATGGCCCCTCTCTTATTCAGAGTCCCAAACCCGTGCCAAACTAGTTTAAACCCTCCTGGGTAACAGGAGTAAATCTCCCCGCGAGGATAGTGGCCACTCTCCGGTACAAGTGTAACCCATCTCTCTTGTGCAGGTCACCTCTAACCCAGAAGAGATCTGAAAACCCTGCCCCTACACCAGCTCCTCAGCCACGCATTCATCTGCCGATCTTTCTATTTCTATCCTCACTGGCGCGTGGCACTGGGAGTAAACCAGAAATCACTGCCCTTGAGGTCCTGCTTTTTAACTTCTTACCTAACTCTCTGTATGCATTTTGCAGGACACCATCCCTTTATCTACTTATGTAATTTGTACTGTTGGCACTTGGCAGATACCCTGGTAGAATCCAGGTTAAATCTATGAAATATTTCTCATAAGAAAGGAGATATTTAGAGAGGATAGGAAATAGATTACCTCAAGGTGTCAGGGTTTTCGTGTGAAAGATCCAGACCAGAATTATTTGTTTAGAACCAGGAAGGTGAAATGTGAAGCTGAGAGTGTTTGAGCTCAGTTGTGTTACTAATCAAGGAACAGCTACCAAAGACCAGGAGTTGAAAGAAAACATTAAGTCAAGCCTATAGATGTGATCCAGAAAGGATTCTTTGTGGCGTCTAAGACAGTAAAATGATGCTATTGGGATCAAGAGGGTTGGATTCTTAATTGTGCATTTCTAAAACTTTCAAACTGTGTTAAATGTAAACACATTGCTTTATTCTATGTTACCGTCCCTTGTATAATACTTTCTTTTATCATTGGAACCAAATCTTCAGTATTGCATCCTTATGTTTCAGTGAATGACCACATCAGTAAATAAAAGGAAAAAGCAAACAATGATCTATCAAGCTGGATTTTAGCCTGTAAAAACATCAGCTCGAATCTCAGCAACATTTATCTCAAACATGGCAAATTTTGCAAGGGTATTGCTTATATGGTAAATTGTACACAAAGTAATTTTCAGAAAGACAGTTTAACAGGCATTATTTAGCAGTTTAGATGTGCCATCTGCACGTCAAAATACCTAAGCCCTTGGCTGTATTACAAATATTTCATCATTTCTTACCATATTGTTCAATTGTCTTGTCATGCCGCAGTTCTGAAAGAAATCCATTAAATATAAATTGGAATTAAAAATAAACGTGTTTTAATTCAACTGACATACTTTCACTTACTACAAATACGAATTAATAGCATTCATTTCTATTTGAAACAAACCGAGATTAGCACTTCTTCAGTGTAACACACATCCAGCTCTATTTAGGTGTTAAGGAGTTAGACTGTGCTGCAGTTCATGTTGTATTATATGATGAAATTGGCTTCTTTGTACAGAGGATTGGGGAGGAAGTAGAAGAAAATTAAACAAAAAGTATTTTTTTGCAGATGTTGAAAAAAAATTGAAAACAATGATATTTGATGAAAAAAAATTAAAACAAAGGGCTCTCTCAGACATGCTGCTGGCTTCATTAAAACAGCGATCTCCTCCCCTCCCACTGAGACCAAAACTTTCATGACTGAATTATCACAACTACGGTGCAACACAAAGAACAGAAACAAAAAGACCCTGGTTCAGTTTTAACATTTTTCTTAAGTCCCGAATCTGTCTCCTCCATTGTCATTGAGTCTGAGACTGTACCTTTAATATTTCTGAGTTGTTTCACAATCCAAAGGATCCCAGCGATTAAAGTAATTATGAGAAGACAGAGCATCAGAGATAAAAACACCAGCCAGCCTGAGACAGATGGGAAGAAGTCATCTGCAAAGTAAATGGCAGTTAATTAGATACTTATAATTTCTGACCTCTTCCACAGTAATCATCCTTTTCAAATGACTGATTTTAGCACAATTTCAAGTTTATGGTCCCCAAGCTGAAGACTTAGGTTTCAATCAAATAAGTGGGCAGTTAAAATTGCCCACGTTACTCTCTTACACTTGAGTCACTTGGATCCCATCAACCACGGCTTTTGCACAGACTGCTCACTGTGCGGCTAACTCAACTGGCCAAAGCTGGCCTCTTTAAACATGTGGATCAAAAATGGGCAGTGCTATTGGACCCAGTGCATGATGCAGTGGAAATGTCACTTGGGGTCCAAGATAATGGTCTGGGGATACAGGTTCAAACCCAGCACAGCAGTTGATGGAATTTAAATTCAACAAATGAAACCTGGAATTTGAAGCCAGTCTCTGTAATGGTGACTGTGAAGCGAACATCAATTATTGAAAAAACCCATCTGTTTCACAAATGTCCTTCAGAGGAGGGAAATCAGCCATTTTTACCTGGCCTGGCCTACTTGTCACTCCAAGCCTATAGCAATGTTGTTGACTTTTAACTACCAGCTGAAATGGGTGAACAAGCCACTCAGTTAAAGGGCTGTTATCGATAGACAACAAGTTAAAGACAACTATCATTTTGATGCAAGAAGCCAGACTTATTCGAATTTTGCCACACTCTTTGTGCTATTATCAATTTACAGCATATAGTTTTTTGTGCCTTTTGAAATTTATTGACAAACAGACAAGATGAATATCATCTACTCCTAGAGCACTATTAACCTGGTGAAAATTACTCGTAATCTGCTTGTATTTGTCTATCTTTCAGGACAAAGAGCTGTCAAGAACTATATAATTTGGATTTGCACATTCCAAGGTCCAGGACTGGGAGCTTGGAACATCCTTTGTAAAGCTCAATGGAGAAACACCATAGAGTAAGGCCCTTCCATTAAAGACTTTTTAAAAATCAACCTTTGCCAAGATGTTATTACACACCTCTCAAGTAGGTGGGACTTGAAATCAGACCTTCTGGCTCAGAGGTAGGGACACTACCATTGTGCCACAAGAGGCTGGATCCCACGTCAAATTCCTCAAGTTGCCTTTTTTTTCTACTCATTTCTGGGATGTGGGCGTCGCTGGCTGGGCCCAGCATTTATTAACCGTCCCCAGTTGCCCTCGAGAAGGTGGGGGTGAGCTGCTTTCTTAAACCACTGCAGTGCACCTGCTACGGGTTGACCCATAATGCTATCAGGGTGGGAATTCCAGGATTTTGACCCAATGGCAGTGAAGGAACGGCGATATATTTCCAAGTCAGGATGGCATGTGGCTTGGATTGGAACTTGAAGGCAGTGGTGTTCCCATATATCTGCTGCCCTTGTCCTTCTGGATGGAAGTGGTCGTTTGTTTAGAAGGTGCTGTCTGAAGATCTTTGGGGAATTTTCTTGTAGATAGTACACACTGCTGCTACTGAGCGTCGGTGGTAGAGGGAGTAGATGCTTGTGGATGTGGTGCCAATCAAGCGGGTTGCTTTGTCCTGAATGGTGTCAAGCTTCTGAAGTGTTGTTGGGGCTACACCCATCCAGGGCAAATGGAGGTTATTCCATCACACTCCTGACTTGTGAATTGCAGATAGTGGACAAGCTTTAAGGAGTCAGGAGGTGAGTTACTCCCGCAGTATTCCGAGCCTCAGACCTGCTCTTGTAGCCACGGTGTTTATGTGGTGAGTCCAGTTGAGTTTCTGGTCAATGATAACCCCCAGGATGTTGATAGTGGGGGATTCAGTGATGGTAACATTATTGATTGCCAAGGGATGGTGGTTAGATTGACTCTTATTGGTGATGGTCATAGCCTGGCATTTGTGTGGCATGAATGTCACTTGCCACTTGTCAGCCCAAGCCTGAGTATTGTCCAGATCTTGTTGCATTCGATAATGGACTGCTTCAGTATCTGAGGAGTCACAAATGGTGCTGAACATTGTGCAATCATCGGCGGACATCCCCACTTCTGACCTTGTGATGGTGGGAAGGTCATTGATGAAGCAGTTGAAGATGGTTGGGCCTGGGACACTACCCTGAGGAACTCCTGCAGAGATGTCCTAGAGCTGAGATGGTTGACCTCCAATGACTACAACCATCTTCCTATGTGTCAGGTATGACTCCAACCACCAGAGAGTTTGCCCCCTGATACCCATTGACTCCAGTGTCGTTCGGGCTCCTTGATGCCATACTCAGTCGAATGTCGCCTTGGTGTCAAGGGCTGTCACTCTCACCTCACCTCTGGAATTCAGCTCTTTTGTCCATGTTTGAACCAAGGCTGTAATGAGGTCAGGAGCTGAGTGGCCCTGGCGGAACCCAAACTGGGCGTCACTGAGCAGGTTATTGCTGAGTAGGTGCTGCTTGATAGCGTTGTTGATGGCACCTTCCATCACTTTACTGACGATCGAGATTAGACTGATGGGGCGGTAATTGGCCGGGGTGGATTTGTCCTGCTTTTTGTGTACAGGACATACTTGGGTAATTTTCCACATTGTCGGGTAGATACCAGTGTTGTAGCTGTACTGGAACAGCTTGGCCAGGGGAGTGGCAACTTTTGGAGCACAAGTCTTCAGTGCTATCGCTGGAATATTGTCAGGGTCTGTAGCCTTTGCAGTATCCAGTGTCTCCAACCATTTCTTGATATCATGTGAAGTAAATCGAGTTGGCTGAAGACTGGTATCTCTAAAGCTGGGGGCCACTGGAGGAGGCTGAGATGGATCATCCACATGGCAGTTCTGGCTGAAGATTGCTGTGAAAGCTTCAGCCTTATCTTTTGCACTGATGTGCTGGGCTCTTCCGTCATTGAGGATGGAGATATTTGTGGATCCTCCTCCTCCAGTGAATTGTTTAATTGTCCACCTCCATTCACAACTGGATGTGGCAGGACTGC